GGTGCAGGACTGGACAAGTCAGTGATCCGGGAGACTACAGAAGTGCCAATGAATGAGGATCAACCATAGTTACAAAGCATAAGACGCTAGTTCAGTGAAGGAGGGAAAACAAGATTATATAAAACACAGACCTCTTGATTGTTGAGGGACTGGGTAGCTCCGCATACTGGCTGGCCGTCAAACATACTTTAAACATGATGCAAGTCAAGGCTAAAATTTAGGGCCTGATTTTCCGTATATGACTTTTCTTTGAAGATTTAGGTTTTATTTTGTTATTAGTGTTCTTCTCCACTTGCCGACAGAAGCCTCTTGCAGGAGGGGGCATTCAGGAAACGTTTGCTGACTAGGTTTCTACACCTTTCTTTGCCCACAGGACCCATTCTGTAAAGCAGCCATTTCCATGGCGTTCTTTGCTCCCTGAAATCTCTAAATCTAAGGTAATTTGCTTTTCTGAAACAATATGCTTTATTTTACTAATTGCTTTCATTGTTTTTCTTCAGGACCTACATCTTTACTTTAGACTCTCAAATTAAACTCTTCCTAAAAGAAAGACAAAAAGCCCAATTTCCCATGTTTTTGTGACAGACTCATCTCAGAGTTGATGGACAGGCATCAAATCTAGGAGGGCCTTGTGAGAACCACTGGGTAGAGAGTCATAGGATTAGATCTTTACTGCAGGAAAATGCCTGGCAGCAGAATATAAAGTGTGTGTGTGTGTGTGTGTGCGCGCGCGCGCGCACGCAATCTTCGACATGCCAGGTTGGGATGCTCTACACGGAGTGGGAGGGTCTCCTGCCATCACCCAAATGAGCATTGATAAGGCTCCACTGAAGCAGTCAACGGAGGTGGAGGCCAGAAGGGAGGCAGTGAGTATGAGACATTTCAAAACAAGAATTGATGGATTAATGGACTAGATATAACGAATAAAGAGTTAATAAGGCTTTCTGTATTCTATCCTTTTATATGCTTCTTCTAATCATTTTAGTTAGTTTTCTACCAATATATCTCCTATGCCAGGCTCACTATTTTTATCTTGGGGGTATAAAGACCTCTTGTGCACACCAAGGTCTCATCCACTGTGCAATTCAGCTATTTCCCTCCCAGTCCCCTGGATGCCCAGGGATGTTAGTCTAGACAGAGACCAGCCATCCTAACACCATCCTCAGGAAAAAAGGACCAGCTCCGAGAGACCCCATGCCTGATTTTAACACAGTAACTCAGATCCCATCGTCTCTCATAAGCCACAATGAATCTGAATTTCACCAAAAACTGTACCTGTGATTCTTGGGTGCCACGACCTTGAGGACTGACAGACACATACCAAGGCACCTAATCGTGTCACAAAGTGGAGCCTTAACTACCAGTTTCACCAAGGACTGGCTTTTCTCTCTTGTTTTTGCCACTACTATGACAAAGGTTCACAATGCAATTCAGTGACTGCATACAACCTTTCAACACCTCAGTGCCACTATGTCAGTTCGGGAATCAGTGTCCTCAGACTGACCTTTCCAAAAAGAGAAGATACTCATTCCCACATTTTAAAAGCCTCCATTTTTCTCCTTATACTATTGATATATTCCCAACAAAAGCATTCGCCTAGAATACGTTGAAGAGTTTGTGAAACCTTGTCTATTTTAGCTTTTACTGGATGGTCATGGCAATTCTGATAAGTTTGCTAACTGATGCGATACAGTGACTACTGGAAAGCTGAGTAATTTCTGAATACAAAAGAAAAATCGTACACATACATAGACAAATGGAGAGGTACGGATGGACCAGCTCCTAATGTCAGAAAATAAACACATGAGCTTCAAGAAGATGTTAAAAAGGCCTCAGGAAGGTGGCAGTAAGCTGACGTTTATCTAAGGTGATGGATTGGCAACCTTAAACTTAAATTCTAAGGTACCAAATAGAAGTAAATAAATTAAAAATTAGTGGATCCTCAACTTGCCTTAACATAGTTTATAAATTCTGAATGGAGAACGTCTGTTCCGTGGGAAAATTGGTCTCTTTCTTCTCCTGGGTTGTCACTGTCACTCACAAGGGAAGGTGCCGGTTGAAATTCCTGATGAAATTCCCCTATTAGAAAAATTTATAGAAAGGGCAGAAAGCATGATTTCATGAACAGATGAGCACAACATAGATGACTCTTAAACACATCATCTAATTATTTCAATCTTCTCTCTTACCATTGATGGAGGTATATGTATGACCTAAGTTTTCCCTTCCTTACAGGATGTGAGGAAAAGGTGAAAAGAGGAGGAAAAAGAAGAAAATAAAAAGAAATGGAAAGCCCCAAACAGAATGAATATAAAAGCCAAAGCCTCCTTATGGCTTACTGCCTTATGAAAGAAATGTAATTTCTTTTTTTTTTAAGAAACAGAGAAAAGAAAGCATAAAAGAAAGCTTTTTGTGCTCTCAGTAACGTGTAACAAGAAAGTATTTCAAATTCAAAATTCAACAAATATTTACTGAGCAACTGCTAAGTGGCAGGTATGATGCTAAA